GGGCTTAGGGTTTGGGGTTTAGGAGCCCTTGAAAGGTTCATATACCGTAAGGATTAATTTTAAAGGAAAAGGGCCGTTCTTTTAAAGGTCTTTTGGTCCCTAAGGTTCAGCTCCTGATAGCGAAGGAGACGCCCTCAAGTAGGCATAGATCGATGCCAGTCTGCATCAGCTACCTGACGGTAGGCGCTCTGGTAGCCTGTAAGCTAGATGGTAGGTTATTGGGCTATGGTCTCTAATTATAAGGCTTGTATAATGCCGCAGAAGAGTAGCCGCAAAGCATGAGTCCAACAACCCTGTGCCCAAAACCCAAGACCCTAAACCCTGAACTCGAAGACCGAAACCCTAAAACCCTAAACCCAAAAACAAAAAAAAAAACAAAACCCGAAGCACAAAATCCAAAACCCTAAACTCGAAGACCACAAAACCCCTAAACCCTAAACCCTGAAGCCCAGCAACAAAAAACCTTAGCACAAAACCCAAGAGCCCAAAGCCCAAGCCCCTGAACGAAGCCGCAAACCCAAAAATCCCTCACGCCCAAAACGAAGATGTGCACCTAAACCCTAAACCCTGAACCCTAAACCCCCTAAACCCTTAAAACCTTAAGCCCTAAAAACCTAAACCCTGAACCCTAAACCCCTAAACCCTGAACCCTAAACCCTTAAATCTGGAACCGAAAACCCTACATCCTAAAAATCCTAAATCCGAAAGGCCGGGGCACTCCAAGGAAGCCATTGGTCGTGGTGTAGGCGGCCCTTTGGGTCAAGGCTTATTTAAAAGGAAACTACAGGTGGGGAGTTCAGGGTATATAGGGCTTCCATAAGGTATATGGACCTTCTATAAGGCTCCAAAACCGGTAACTACCAACCTGAAAATGTCCTAGATTATGGTAGATTATGGTTGTTTAAGTTTTAAGGTTGAGGGCCTAAGAGGTTTATGGCTTGAAGGCTCAAGGTTTGGGATCTGGGGTTTCAGCTTTAGGGTAAGCGGGCTTTGGTTTTAAAGTTGTCGAGGGTTTAAACCCTAAACCCTGAACCCTGAACCCTAAACCCTAAACCCTAAACCCTAAACCCTGAACCCTAAACTCTAAACCCTAAACCCTAAAAACCCTAAACGGGAATTCGGAGTTGAAAGGGTCTCATAGGGTTTTGAAGTCCGGATGTGTAGGACTTGGGGATCCGATTTATGGGTTTAGGGTTCAAGGGTTTAAGGC